GATACCAATATTAAAGTCGGAAACACGATTATTTTAATGTATTTAGATTTGGCTCCAAATGGTGACCAGTAAAAAGGAAAAGAATGAAGAAGAACAAAGAATTCCTTTTTATTCTTTAAAAATTACACTATTTATAGGGAATATTTGGTATTTATCATTTCTCCTCCTGCAGAGAATTTATAGAACAAAATTGTTCCTTATCAAATTTGGGGAGGAACAAGAAGAACCAATTTTTTTTTCAATTCCTTCTCATTCCTAAAATTTATGTTCCTTTTCATTATTTTTCCTCGTCGTTCATTTTGTTTTCTTTTAGTGGTCACCAGTTAGAGCAAAAGTGATTGGTGTTAGATGAGACTTACGATTAACGAAGGAGCGTTTTTCATATTGAATAGATCTTTTATTCCACTTTCAGATTCCCTTCTGGAGATTTCTACTGTTTCCTGTTTCAAAATTAAGTTATAATCTTGAAAAATGAAAGTTAACAAGTTTTTGGTTACATGCTACTTATTACTTCTGTATAAAATTAAGGGTCAATTTGTTCACTAGCCAAAAAATAATAATAATAAGGGATCTAACAAAAATTAACATATGTGATCTAATTGTGTCCATCATATTTAGATTAATTGGTTATATTTTTTATTATAGTTTTTTTTAGTTATTCAATCCAATTTCCCTAAAATTAAAACCTAGCAAAAATAAAGAATTACTCTGATTTCAGCTGCTTCTTCGAGAATATCATTATCTTGTCCTCTAAGTCTCTTCAAAGTGACTTCAAGCTCTCGATCTCGACCATACATCGCCTAGGAGGGACATTAATATGTTGATCGTGCATATTTATTTATCGGAGAAGTTTTATTAATATTAGAGCTGAAAAATACTAGAAAATTACCAGCCATCTAGGAGATTCCGGAATGAAAAATAAACATATTGCTTGAATAGCACATGGGATTGCACCTAAACATAGATTGGAACTTCAATAGTGAGTTTAGTACATATATATGATTTAAATTATAATTTTGAGATAGTTCATTTGAGAAAAATCATAATTACTTAAAATCGCTAATGTTCGCCAATTGATATAGTTTCCGGTAAAGAATATGAGCGCAACCCCAGAAGATTGTAGAAGCTACAAGTTCAAACGTGAAAAGTAGTATATATTAAATACTGTGATTTTTAAATTATGTGTTATTTGATGTTTTTGTTTTTTTTACCTGATTTGAAAAAGAGAAACCTCCACGAAATTTTTTGGGTGTAATTTCTGCTATATACACAGGAACCTGTATATTTTGACCAATTGATCAAACAAAATAGTGTAATACTACTACACATTAATTACTATTCTTATTAATAACTAAAAACTTAGTTTAGATATAAGTATAAAAAGAGTTAATTAGTTACCACATAACTAATGAGACCAACCCCAAATCCCAAGAACAGTCGTCCACTATATAGCAGCGTAATATCCTTCAAATGATCACAACAACCAAAATGTAAAGTTTCTTAGTTTTATTATAAAAACTGTGAAATTCCATTTGTTCCATATTAAATTATAGTATATTTTTAATTGAGATTTGGAGAAAACAAACTTTTGCAAACGCAACAGCGAGCCAACCAAAGATGCAGCAAGAATCAGCGATCCACATTGTCTGAAAGATGAAATAAAAAAGTACAAATTATGACGTCATTATAGAAGATCATAGAAGAAAATCTCCATATATCAAATCTGGTCCCAAGCAAAAATGAATGACCTGTCGACGACCAATGAGTGCAGCGATTTTTCCACTAAACGCGGCCGTAATCAATCCTCCCAATGTCATTACCGAAGTGAAAAACGAATACTTTGCCAACAAAATTGAAATTAGACCCATACAATAAAATTACGAAGGAGTATTTGATAATAAGCATACACAAATATTGGACTTACTTACTTGTGATAAAGAAAGTCCAAGTTCTTGCATGATTTTGGATTGAGCAGGTGACGAATATGCCATCTTCCAAGTTTGATTATTGTATTGTTGTCAAAATAATCCACACAAAAACAAAAAAGATTAGACCAAAGTAATAATTATAATCATGATAAGTAAGTGTCCAAATTAACAAAGACATGGTAGTTGATCAAATCCCATATGAGAAAAAAGAAAGAAACAGAAAGAGAGATGATGAAGAATTCAGAATTCTCACGGCGAAGCCATAACAGAAGGATCCAGCGACAGTGACGGATGTACTG